GCCACCCCTTTTTCGTGAGTGGGGCAGGACTAGGGGAAATAAACGACGTCATTCCTCTGTTGAAACTTTCCTGGAAAAAAAATCCCTGTTAACAATGGCTGGTCCAGGGTGGGGGTTTAGACGGGGGCCCCACAGACCCTCAACGCCAAAAGGGCCCCTGGGGGGGGCAGGACAGGAAAAAAGGGGGGAGGTGAGGGGTTTTTGGGGTGCTCGGAATTATTGAGTGAAATGGGGGGTTTTTTTCCCATCAGCGGACGGGGAGTGGAGGAGAAGGGCATTTTTGGGTAGAGGAGGGGGAAAGAGGGGACAGGGGGGACCCAGACGCACCGTGGCAGTTTGCGGGTGGGAGGAAAAGGCAGGGAGCCCCCTCGCTTTCCTTGGCACAAATGGCCCATAGCATGCTCCCCTTGCTTTCTTTTAGCGACATCCAAATAAAAACCCATCGGACAGGGGGGATGCTTTTGGCTGCCCAAACCTTTTTGGGGCCCCTCGTTTACCGTTCAAAAAGGGTTTCCCTTTTTTCACACCTGCTGAGAGGGAGGCCAAAATAACGTATTATAAAAAAAAACCTTTAGGGTACGTCAGCGGGTCCTCTGCCTGGCTGCCGCAAACGTCCATCCTCAGACATGGTGGGCCCTGTGCGCTCGCGTTCCGCTGCATGGGCCGCAGGGGAGGGGTGGGGTGGTGGTAAGAGCGAGTGGCAGCTCCACCAGCAGCGGCTGCCTCAGTCTGACAGTCCGATGAATGAGTACATCATATTTCGTTACAGCCAGAGCGAGTGCTAGTGGCGAGGAAACACTACTAACCCAGCCGCAGCAGCAGCAGCATCAGGTTGGACCTGGAGCAGGAGGACCTCAAAAACAACAGGCTTACGGCGCTTCTTGGACAGCTCACTGCCAAACCGAGGTAGACAATCCCCTTGACTACTGGGCAACGAAACTTGACCTTTGGGCCCCAACTAGCTGAAATTTGCCCTTGAAAGGCTGTCATGCCCGGCCCAGTAGCGTGGCATCGGAGCGCGTGTTTAGTGCGGCAGGAGGTATTGCAACTCCGCGGAGGGACACGACTGTCCACCCAAAGGGTGGAGAAGGACTCACGTTTTGTGAAAATGAATCAGACAGTGGATTAGTCTGGATTTCAAACCACCAGTTCCTGACACAACTGACTAAATCCGCCATGAATCATGCCCCAAAACATGTGCCACTTTCAGGTCTCCTCACACTGCTGGTGTGTTTCCAATTTTTTTTGTCATAGGGTGCTGGCAGTTACGGGCCTCCCATAGCTGCTGCCAGGCCCCTAATCTGCCATGGGCCCCTATACCGCCTCCTCATGCTGCTGCCAAGTCCAGAGTCTCTCATGGGTCCCTGTACGGCCTCCCATTGCTGCTGTCTCCATCGCCACACTCTGCCATGTGCCACTTTCAGGTCTCCTCACACTGCTGGTGTGTTTCCATTTTTTGTCATAGGGTGCTGGCAGATTACGGGCCTCCCATAGCTGCTGCCAGGCCCCTAATCTGCCATGGGCCCCTATACCGCCTCCTCATGCTGCTGCCAGGTCCAGAGTCTCTCATGGGTCCCTGTACGCCTCCCATGTGATGCTGTCTCCATCGCACACACTCCCCCGATGTGCCACTTTCAGGTCTCCTTCACACTGCTGGTGTGTTCCTTTTTTTGTCATAGGGTGCTGGCAGATTACGGGCCTCCCATAGCTGCTGTCAGGCCCCTAATCTGCCATGGGCCACTATACCGTCTCCTCATGCTGCTGCCGGTCCAGACAAAAAGTTCTCATTTTTCCCCTCATGGGGGTGCCTTCCCATTGCTGCTGTCTCCATCGGGCCTCCACTTTCAGGTCTCCTCACACTGCTGGTGGGGTTCCATTTTTTGTCATAGGGTGCTGGCCAGATTAACGGGCCTCCCATAAGCTGCTGCCAGCTGCCCGTAATCTGCCATGGGCCCCCGTACCGAATGCTCCTCATGCTGCTGCCAGGCCCGTAATCTGTCATGGGCCCCTGTTTGTCGCTTGTTGGCATATTCCGCTCGTTCAGATGCTCCTTCTCCTGCTAACTCCTCTTCACGAATTTCCGTCTAGCAGTTTCTTTCTTGGAATCCGTTTCCAAGAGACAACAGTTTGCGAGCACGCACCCGACGGTGCAGAAGCTGAACGTCCTCCCTGTCCAAGTTGCTGCTGCCAGGCTCGTAATCTGTCATCGATGCGCCCCTGTACCGCCTCCTCATGCTGGCTGCCAGGTCCAGAGTGTGTCATGGGCCCCCGTATACGACTCCTCATGCTGCTCGCCAGGCCCGTAATCTGTCATGGGCCCCTGTACCGCTCCCCATGCTGCTGCCAGGGAGTGTGTCATGGGGTCCCTGTACGGCCTCCCATTGCTGCTGCCCAGGCCCGTAATCTGCCATATGGGCCCCCGTAACCGACTCCTCATGCTGCTGCCAGGCCCGTAATCTGTCATGGGCCCCTGTACCGCCTCCCTCATGCTGCTGCTGGTCCAGAGTGTGTATCATGGGTCCCTGTACGGCCTCCCTATTGCTGCTGTCTCTATCGCCACACTCTGCCTTGTGCCACTTTCAGGTCTCCTCACACTGCTGGTGGTTTCCATTTTTGTCATTGGTCACTTTGGGTGCTGTAATGCCTCCCATTGCTGCTGCCTCTCCACCGCCACAAAAAAATGTGGCTCTCACACTCTGGTTTTTGGCCCGTGACTGCCCAAATGAGTGAAGTGTGCGGTGATTCTAAGATCGACGGCACTCATCTGCATGTCATATGACTGACCAGTATTATTTCTCTTCCCCAGCAGACTCCAAGGGCATTTAAATTAAAGGTACAGTGTTCTGCACTAATCTATTAAGTCTCTCTGAAGCCTAGAAACACCTTTTTTAAGTTAAATTCACAGCGAATATATTAGACTCGAATCGAAATTTTTCCACGAATTCGCCGAATCAGTCGAATCGAATTTTTGAAATACTTCGCTCATCTCTAATGAAGTACATTATGTACTCTCCACACAACTGGTAGTTCGAAGAAAGCACCATTGAGCTATTATGGGTCCAGAACTTGAACTATTGCATTTGCAAATACTAAAACAAATATTGGTGTGCAAAACATACTGTACAACTCTAATCAGTCAAAAACCTTTACCATATTTATTACTACGAGCTAAAAATCAGCAGGTAGAATCAAATATTTGCTATGGCCAAAGGTTGTCCCATTCTTTATACTTGCTACAAAAAAATTTTCATGGTGATTTCTTTTTCCCCTTCTTTTTTTGTAACTAATTTTTAATTGAATGTTTGGAAGCTCTCCAAAGATCTTGAAATCCCATAAAATATGTCTTAATTTTAGAGAAAATAAATAATTATTTTACACACATTTCAATATTAATGTTTGTGCTGTCTGAATTAAGCTGAATAGATACAACTGGCAAAAGTGTTAATGTGACCACTGCATTTCAATTACTTAATGATCGGCGTGTTTGCAAATGTTCTGAACTTGTCAATATTTGCATTTCCAAAATACACAGCCTGTTGCTTTCAATTATGTGTTCACTCTCTGATTCAAAAGAGAAAAGATACTTTGCTAGCTGAAAAAGTGACTCCACCTTAATAAAAATTCAATGAACATTAGAGCTATGATGATTTTGGGTAATAAGAAGATATAGGTATTAATTTTTCTAGCCTGTGTCCGCTGATCTTGATTGATATATATATGTACACAGTATAGTATACAGGCAAACAATCAGCATTGCCAATCAACAGCATAAACCACCACAGGCTTTTATGAAAAGTGTTTTCTTTGTATGCCTTCAGAGCTGCCAGGACCACAGAAGTCAAATAAACAAGATTTTACAATAGTGCCTTTTGTCCAGCAGAGACCTAGGATTTTTTTCTGAAAGGATTAACGTGTTTCCACCAGACAAAAATATGAATCTATGAGGACATTAAATATAATGCCACAAAGCAAGAAGGCATGTCACATTAAATATAAGATTTTAGTTAATATTTTTGATATAACTCCTTCAGCTCCCAGGCCATTTTCTGGCACTTTTTGTTTACATTTTAACCACTTTTACCCCCTTCCTGCCAGGCCAATTTTCAGCTTCCAGTGCTGACACACATAGAATGACAATTGTGCAGTCATGCAACACTGTACCCTAACAACATTTTTTGCATTGTTTAAAGACAGAGCTTTCTTTTGGTAGTATTTAATCACCACTGGGATTTTTATTTTTTTGCTCTAAACAAACTAAAAAAACTGAAAATGTTGGGAAAATTTTTTTTTTCTTTAGTTTCTGTTATAAAACTTTGTAAATAAGTATTTTTTCCCTTCACTAATGTGCGCTAATGAGGCTTCAGTGATGGGCACTGATAGGTGGCACTGATAGGCTGCACTGATAGGTGGCACTGATGAGGGGGCACTGATAGGTGGCACTGATGGGCATTGACAGGCATCACTTGTGGGCATTGACAGGCATCACTGATGGGCACTGAAAGGTAGCACTCATTATATGGCACTTATAGGCAGCACTGACTGGCACTGATTGGAACTGTTAGGCGGCACTGACTGGCACTGAGAGGCAGCACTGACTGGCACCCATGATTGGCAGCACTGATAGGCGACACTGACTGGCACTGATAGGTGGCACTGACTGGCACTGATAGGTGGCACTGAAAAGGCACCTCTGATGGGCACTGATATGTGGCATTGATGTGCACTGATGGGCACTGGTATGTGGCATTGATGAGCACTGACAGGTGGCACTGATGGGGCTACACTGATCATCAGGACACTGCTCATCAGCGTGTGAGGAGAGGACTGCCAATAACCGGCATTTTCCTATTTACATGCAATCAGCTGTGATTGGACACAGCTGATCACATGACAGAATCGATGCCATCAGCTCATTACTCTGATCAGTGATCCACTGTGTCCCCAGGGACATAACACACCACTGATCACCGTGCCGCACACCGCCGGGGGGGCGAGTATGTTAGAGTGGGAAGATGTCATATGATGTCCTCCCAGAATGAGAGAACCGCTGCCCAGAACCGCTGCCCATCCATTTTTTCCTTATATGGTGGGCGATAGGCGGTTAAAATCAATATGTTTCGCTTAGAACCGCCAAACATTATATGTATTTTTTTAAAGCCGAGGCCCTCTAGAGAATAAATTGGTGCTTTTTGCTTTTTTATGTCACACAGTGTTTGAGCAGCGGTTTTTCAAATGCAATATTTTTGAAAAAAAAATACACTATTTTGAATTTTTTGCAAAAAAAATACATAATTTTTTGGTAAAATATAAAAGATGATGTTACCCTGAGTAAATTGATACCAAACATAGTTAGTCTGGCTGAAAAAAAAGACAAAAGTCCATCCAGTTCAAAACCATTAAAAAAAGTTATAATCCTATACCCACACAGTTGATCCAGAGGAAGGCAAAAAAAACCCAGCAAAGCATGATCCAATTTGCTCCTGCAGGGAAAAAAATTCCTTTCTGATCCCCTGGGAGGCAATCGGATATTCCCTGGATCAATTTACCTAATAAATGTTAGTATCCAGTTATATTCTATGTAAACATGTCATGCTTTTTAACATTTCACACGCCCGTGCAATGGCAAAAAATGGCATAAATATTACTAATTATAGGCAAAGTTTTAAAAGCCTTTACAACTTACCATTTTAAGATTTACAGAGGATGTCTAGTGCTAGAATTACTGCCCATCATCTGACATTCGTGGCAATATGTTACATGTGTGGGACAATCTTTGTTTGCCTGCGTGCAAGAATGGTGCATGCGTTTTGCCTTTGCGCGCGAACATGGGGGGGGGGAGAAGGGCACTTTTTTTCATTCATAAATTGTTCTTTTATTTTTTCTACTGTCACTTTAATTTTTTTTAAATCACTTTTAATGCTGTTACAAAGAATGTAAAACATCCCTGTGATAACAATAGACATGACAAGTATTTTTATGGAGGGATATGGGGTTTGTAAGACTTCAAAACGCCAAGATTGGTATTTCGAATGCTTT